GAACAAACAATCACAAAAGAGAAATTACAAATTATTTCAAGGATTTTGTTAATTAATCAGTTCCTACTGAGCTAACTGAACTATTTTCGAAAAGAAATAACTTGTTAAAAATAGGAAAAAATTTACTACTTGTAGGAAAATGTCAAAAATCGAGTGAAAAGTTAAAAATAAAACAAATAAACAATAACAATCGTAAACATTCTTGTATTTTCATAATTTAATAATATGAATTTTGTTAATTAATATATATATATATATATATATATATATATATATATATATATATATATATATATATATGTATATATATATATTTCGTAAATAAAAACATTGATAAAAATCAATAAAGATTAGGTTCTCAAATTTCAACTGTTTAGATAGTCAGTGATCAATATGTAAGATTTTGCATATATTATCGTTTAAATCAATGAACGTAAACAAAATATAATTCCTAAAATTGAAGACGAAAATAAGTTGTTAGCTAAATAAAATCCAACCCTCGACTATTATATATATATATATATATATATATATATATATATATATATATCGATCTATTCATACTATTTATCCATTGAGTCATAATTGAGTTTAGAAATATTTTCTAAATTCAGTTATTTTGTTGAAATCATAGATAGATGATTGTTAGACCACTATTGGAAATCTGGAAGCGCCGGACAGCTTTTTCCACCTGGTACGGGATTCAACAGCAATGCATATTCACGGCCTCGCATATGGAATTCAAACCCAGGTCCTTCCGTCTTGTGCGAGAACGCTTAACGTCTAGACCATTAAGCCGGGTATCCAATTGCGTTAATTTCTAAGTTCAATCAATCCAAGCAGATGCGCCACCTCATCTATTATCTTCGCTGATATGGCTGAACTCCACTGGTCTAACAATATTTGACGCATGATTTTAATGGAGCTCAGTAATCTTCACAAGCTTATGATGAAAATGTGCTCACTAGTGACTAGCTTCGTGAGGAAATTCTCCAAGTTCTAGTGAGGCCGTGACCAGTGGAGTTCAACCGTGCGAGATGTGAGACAGTCAGCCACCGAAGACAATGGATGATGTTGCACATCGTCTTGGATTGACTGAAGTTAGACATTAACGCCGTTGAATACCGGGCTTAATGGTCTAGACGTTAAGCGTTCTCGCACAAGACGGAAGGACCTGGGTTTGAATTTCATATGCGAGGCCGTGAATATGCAATGCTGATGAATCCCGTACCAGGACAAAAAGGCCGTCCGGAGCTTCCAGATTTCTGATGGTGTTTTGACATTGATCGATTCACGGTTAAAATGAAACTCAACAACCTTCATTGGTCTATCATGAAAATCAGTTATTTTTCGCTATGCATACATCATTCAATGATTTCGGTTTGAATCAACCTTACTCTCAACTATATTGATTTCATAGTTTATGTATTTTCATTAAAATAACTTCTAGTAATCCTTAGTCATTCATTTCATACCAGGCATTAATAAGAACTATGTTTTAGAGATGATTATAAATATTTCCTCATTCATTTGTCAAATATTTTAACGCTAATTATGAAAGTGGGAATTTCAGATAATCGATCCCTCAACTATTGACATAAAGTATTTTGTAACTGTATATAATTTGGTTGAATAGAATTAATCCCCATTTTACGTGCATAGATCTGATCAATAGTTACTTATAAACTACTGAATCATTGAACAGGCAACTAATTTGAACCAGATTTAAAAAAAGCTTGAGGATTATTTGACCAATAAGTATCTTTATTATTAAAAACATTAATAAATTACTAATATATTTAAATCCATAGAAATCTTTAAAAAATGTAGTTAAATGGAAACAGAACCTGGTGTAATAACAATCATTTAGGACGAATATATCCTCAAAATAGAACTTAACATTTTTCAAAGAATCAGTTTATTTTTGTTAGCGTTTAAAATCTCTAAATTTCCATCTGCATACTTAAGTTAGTTAGTTACCTTTGAAGTATATTGATCAAATTTATGCAGTTTGTGTATGAACTAGAGAATTCAATGCTATTGACAGGACTAATCTGTTTTCATGTAATATACATTTTATTTCTTTTATTCAACATATAAACGATTGATGTACTGACATTATACGCAGGCGCAAATAATGAAATCATTCATATTTTCAGTGTTAACTGATTTTTAACTTAAGTCATTTCTGGAAATTTTTATACAACATTAAGTAGATTCTTATCATAAATTTCTTACATTTAGCTAGTTATTTTCACAGAGTAAACTATTTGGTTATTACAATGATATTTTCACGATTGTTTTTATCATAAACTATTATAAACTGAAGAATTATCGATAATCAAGTATTACTGAACAGACATTACATTCTTGATTAAAATTCTCCAGTAATGTGAACTCGAGACCATTATAGCATAAAACCAATGACTTTCAGATCAACTAACACAATAAGCATGATATTATAATCATTATTTACCTAACAGCAACCAACTGAAAGATAAATTAACATCTGTTGGCTGCAGTTGTGTGATGTATCAATCAGTCAATCAATAGAAACGTAGAATTTCGTACGTACTTACGTACATCAGTTCAAGTTGTCATACCACATTAGCACAGAGATTTAATTGTCAATTCTAATCCCATAATAGCAGAGGTATTAAGGTATTAGCAGTAATCGGAGAGATTAGGGTTAGAAGATATTATTCAAGAAGTAGAATCTAGCGAAATAAACTTAAAAAGAAAAAGCTTAGGATTTGAGAGAAGACAAGGAATGAATGCACCTGCGCCATTGCAAACGGTTTTGAGCCATATCATTCAGAGTCTCTAACCATCGATTATTATCATTTCGCGGGCCTCAACCAGGTAGTCGACACCTACCAACATGACTTAGTCCAATTGTCAGTGACTTCTGGTGTCTCCTCGTTTGCGGATAAATCTTTCACCTTTTACTAAAGATTTCCGTGGGGAGGCATAATACAATGACTTTCATCTCAGTGTATAATGTGTACTATTTACAAAAGAGCTTAAAAGTTGTGCAACAGATTGTCGTCCTGAAGTTACGTCCAAAACGAGAAGCGTCGGATAAAGGATTTATGGCGCTAATTTGGTGTTTTGAGGAATAAAAGACATGTGGAAGAAGACAGCCAAGAATACGTTTGTTTTATAGATGGAATTTTATGGAAATGTGTGTACCTTTTACTAATCAGATTGTACACAACACAAGTATTCTAAATTGTAAAGCTGATTTTAATGTTCCTTAGTCCTGATTTGTTCAACAGCTGATCTGTTGGTAAAACATGTAACTTGTATGCAAATAAATTCTTATCATAACCACTATACCTACTTTTGTTTAGATATTTTAAGAACTTTAAATATTCATACCTCGTTTATAAGTATGATGGAAAAAAAAGTACAAACTACGTTTTTGTCGATTGGTGAATGTTGAAAAAAAATCCAAACTTATGATCAATAATTAAATTTCACACTTACGACAAAAAAAAAAAAACCAAATGTACTTAAAAGATAAAAGTAATCAGTGATTTAATTCCATTAAACTAACCGTCGAAATATAGTTTAAGTTTTAAAACCATTAGATTTAGTAAAAAAATTATATTTCTGTAAACCACGATGAAATGTGCAGACGGAAATCTCATAGATTTTTAGCTTATCCGTGAGTCCGCCGTACAAATTAGTTCTCTTTCACTAACGGTTAAAAGTGTACGCTTAGTCTTGTCTACGTCCAGCTATGTAGATAAGAAATTCAAACAGAACGCTTTCTACAAAATGATATACCCAAACTTATCAGATTTTTTTTTAAAGAAGAAACCCAAATGGATAGCTGAGACTCGACTACAATTTATAAAATATTTAATGGTTAAGTCAAAACATCATTCACTATTGACCGACTGTTCCCAATCCTTCGAGATGTCATTTGTGGTCCGAATAACTCCCTGGTAGCATCTCAGATTATGAAGTTGAATGATCTGGATTTGGCTCTCAGCAGAAGCATCAGTTCCCTCAAGATTTCAGATGAACCTTGTTTACGATTATTAACGACTACAAACCCGAAGGCAAGTAAAACTTCCAGCAGGCTACCTCTAACCCTCAGTATGATAAATTTGGTTCTGAACCACTCGGACTGATGACAATATAGGACCTTGACTACCAACTTTTGATCAACCGTGAAGGACTGGAAAAAAGTGATAATAGTAACTACAGAGTGATCATTTAGTTGCAAATCAAAATGTTTTCAAAATATAAAAGCTGATAAAAAGTTCTTTGACAAAGCATCAAAACGTACAGCCAAGCACATCTCAATTTAAATTTAAGAAAGGAAAAGAATTACATCGAAATAAAATTTATCAAATAAGATTCATGTTAAAAATTTACTTGCTTACACTAACTAAGTCAAACATATTTAAATTCTATTATCAATAACCTCATTCATTGTAAAATATGACATATCACATGATATAACAACGCATTATAATGATTTAGACATCAAAAATGTCAATCCAACAATAAGTTGATAAGTTTTTCTCTTATGAAGACGCATAAAATTTTCTCCAAGTTTTAAATGATTTATATACATGGATAGTGAAGATATCATAAAATATGATCGGCAAGTCATATCAATAGTTGTAAATGGGTCCTGACTTATGGATTCTTACTTACAAACCTATGAAAAACATTCCTATCATCAAACTTTCTATATCGTAAGGACAGTTCGTCAACTAGTAAATATTACGTAAGAATATTTTGTCAAAATTCAAGAAAACAGTAATATTATTTGTCAAATATGATGATGAATTATATTTCGTTTTATTTGTGTTATATCCACTGTAATACTATCAACGTTTACAAGCCTAATAGTAGAAAATCTTGTTCGCTTTGTTTCAGTTCATAAAGAAGAACATATTCGAAACTCTAGTGCAGATATTAATCAGTGGTTTATTTGTAAACATAAATTGAGTAACAGTTAATTCAAACTAATCTCTTACCGCAAATTCCCAGTTGAACACCAAACTGTGAAATAATGTTCAATAGCTTACAAAAAAATTGGTTTGGAATATTCCTTATAGATAATAATTGAGAAGGCAATAATACAATTGGATAAACAATATGGTTTTTAAAAAGCCTGACCAATCAAATACGCTACTTCGATAGCCAATAATGTTCATCCAACTGAAGGCCACAACAGCCTTGAATAGTACTTCAGCCTGATATGATTTATGTATAAATTGTCAGCCTATAGGAGAACGAATCAGGTGTTTTCAATGCCATAGTTGTTTACTCTAAAATATCGGATGATTTCAAGTCGATAACAACTTAATGATTTAAGAAAATAAAGCTAGCCACACACATTGCACCTATAAACTAGTCATTTATTTAGTCAGGTTTGTAGAAATTATTATACATTCTAACTTCTTTCTCAAAGCATGTAGCTTCATAAACTTCTATTTAGTTCCTGTTTCTACAAATTCCAAAACTTGAATAGGCACTTTGTTTAAAATGTGACAAATTAAGGTGGTACATTTTAAAGGTATACAACGTGCAAAAATTTAAATATTCTATATCAAATATTGTTATTCATAGACAATTACGCGCATACATACATCGTATTGTCAATCGATTTTTCCTCATACATTCAGATTCATAAACTGAAGCGTAACCACGACGATAAGTAATCATTTTCAGCGAACTCAGACAACTCAACGTCAGTTTTAGAACTTTTTCGGCCAAGAACATTTAAAATGTCTTAGTGACTGATGCGTGATATGTGTATACCCTCTGAATGTCAACCTTCTGATCACTAGAAAATATTGTCATCAAATGTTCTTCAATTTAGTAAATTAATAAAACTGTATCTACTTATTACAAATATATAGACTTTTTTCTTATTGTCAAAACGAAGTTTCTTGAACGAAATGATTTAGTTTGGGTTGAGATTATGATCGATTGGTGAGATTTTGAAAGAAAAAAAACCATATTATTTGCATATATTTCTAAATAATTTATGCAAATAAACATATCGATCTTTTTTGTACGTGTTTAACTCTTTAAATGTCATTCAGAATATCAGTACGATCCTGGATTTCTAGTCAAAACGTGATAAGCGTTTATCAAAACCGGCAAAATCATTATCACATACATACATACACACACACAAAAAAAAACCATTTGATTGTTCTTGATTGACTCAATCATTTGATCGAATCATTTTATTTCCAAATAGTTTAATAGAGATTCGATATCACCGTTTAATTTTTTTTCTTCTGAAAATAAGAAATCTTCATCTGCCTTACTCTAAACAACTTAAAAAAAATTATGATGAGAAAACTGTTAAATATCCATTCTACTTAATTGTCATATAATGCAATATTACCTGATACGTCATACAAATGATTTTCACAAAAAAATTGTAACAACAAACAATCTCTAAACGATATCATTTCATTAGTATGCATAAGATTTATATTGTACAGTTTACAATACTAACTAACCACTGTTGAAAAGTAGAAAGTTTTGTTTTAGTGTGAGATTCCTCAGTAATCTCTATCCACGGTTAACTGGGTACTAAAGCTAAAAACCTTTACATTTCGCTGAGATCGCTTACCATTCATACCACTGAGTAAACAATCTTTGACATACATTTCTAATTTCAAGCGGTTTAATCACTAGTAAATAGTTTTGAAAAGTAATTTCTAGAGTTCTAATGAAGGGTAATGGTTAAAGTCGTTTAACCGTATTAAATGTAGAGCACTTATCCAATAATCGAACAACGGCACAATATCCGGAATTTGTTGAAGTTAGTGATCTTAAGACTAAGCTTTCAATGCGGAACCCAAATGTATTTAGTTCGATCTCCGGTGGATTCATGTATGCGTAATCTTGAGTTCGTTCTAAGGGAGTAAGCAACTGTCTACTTGTTTCCTGTTCTCAATTTTCATCTCAATGAGTTCAGTTCGTGATGAACACCATAAAACGTAATCATATCCACAAGCCACTAATTGGAAGCTACACAAAGTTCGTCTAGGCTGGTTGAACCTGCATAAGATTAGTTCCTATAATAAAGTGAAACATTTGTTTAGAAAAAGAATTACGCTATTGATTGCGTTATAAAACGAGAAGTCTTATTTACATAAAAACACAAAGACATAGGATTCCGTTTTATTATAACAAAAAGGTAGACTATTTTAAAAGTTGAAAATCAATAAATATTACTAATACTAATAGATAAGCATTGATGAATGAAACTAGAAAATGTTAACAGTTTCAATGTTACCTCAAAGTTTGTGTTGATTCTTTTTCAACTTCATGCACTCACTGTATTGATAAGTAAATCAACATCTTTTAACTAAGGTCATTTCAGATTGACATATACCTTTTATTGAATGATTATAAATGATTCGATTGTTGAAAACATTCGATTTATTCACATCTAGATTATTGTATTTAAAAACACATGATTTACTTGATTTTTAAAATAAAAATAAGATGTTTAGTCATAATACAATGAAACACTGATTAACAACAACTAATTAACAAATGAGATGATAACGTCAAGATTATAAACAAAACAATTTGGTTGTATGAATCAATTCCAAGTAATGAAGGGACTTCACATGTAAGGTAAATAAAATCAAATACTTATATGAACTGCTAAAGTTTTATTAATCATTTGAATTATAAAATAAATATTCCGATATTATCATTTTTAACTTCGTCTACAAATATGCTTCAATGTTCATAACATAAATTTGTTGGGAATTCGATTTCAGAACAAAAGCCATCAAACACTGGAGCTGTAATTTTACTTAAATCAATGCTTTACCTGTCAGTGATATTTCGAAAGACAGGAATCTCTCTCTCTCCCTCTCTCTCTTTGTAACTGTACATGCTTTAGTGCTTATCAGTAGTCACAATTCAAAGTACAGTAAGTACTCTGCCTTTTAGTGTTGAATCTGTGGCTGGAAAAATTTCCACAAACATATTCTTATCTTTTATTAGTGTAGGGATTTGTAAAAATTATTGACTTTAATATTTGCCATCATGGAATGGCCTAAGTTAGACACCAGTTGGTAGTTAGGGAGAAATGAACCGCTTTTCTGTCTTAGTCAGTCACTCACTCACCAAAAGTGTCCGTGATTCCATTGTGGATCTGGCTTAAAGCCTTCATGTCTCATGATGAGCGCCTAACCCCTCGACCACCGAATCGGAATTCAGTGCTTTGTCTCCAAGTCTAAGCATACTAGGATGAAACAGCTGTCTAGAGCCACCTAGTTTACAATCTATCTATCTATTATTGTGTTATTTGATTACTTTTGGAATTTAAACTAGGAGAATGATTTTGTGGTAAATTATCAAAACTGGTCTCTATTTTTGGTTTGATCAAGGTTAAGATATAATTGTATTTATTTATATAAGGCATGATTTTCAATCATGAAATTCTGTAAATCTAAGGTTAAGTTCGTTTAGTTTGTTATAATAACAACTGGTATCATATTTCACTATTGTGAACAAGGTCAAAATAAACCGGAATTAGCCTTGTTTCATTGTTAAACGAAATGAAAAATAAAAACACAACTTTTTTCAGAACAATTTAACCGTATCCTCATTATTTAATTTAAATAAAATAATAATAATAATAATGATAACACCTACAAATAATCTACACTTACATACAAATTCTCATTACTCAATTGCATGGAATTCTTCATTAATAATCAGTAATGGATCAACTCTTGTTTTTTCTGAAAAAATTTAATTTTCATTCTTTTCTCGATGAGTAAATATAAAAAAGTCAATAAATTTTAAACATCCTTGAATGTTATTTCTTTAAAAACTATTGATCTAAATATCACATTACTGAGACTGATAATGATTTGGCAACTGATCTCTGATAAATGTCACTATTTCATTGGGTTATGAAAAGAAGAAATGAAATAGAACTAGAGTAAGATTTCAACTTGTGACTCAGTGATCTACTTGTGATATGATCTCTTTATAGCAATAAAAACATGTTGACTAATTTAAATTATTGTCAAAAGTTTAAATGATAACTTCGATGGGTTTTTTTCCTAAATTATAAACTATAGTCCCATTAACTCTTCCTTAGTGTGTATATTTAATGAAATATCTCAGACAATTTGTATTTGATACAATCTGATAAGATTTTGAAAAAAGTCTAAATAATGCTCTACATAAACGATTCTTAGTTGTCACACCTAGTGGAGTTCAACCCTTTTAGGTATAGGCAGTAATTACCGAAGAGAATGGGTGAGGTTGCGCAAAGCATTAGGTTGATTGGAGTGAGACATTAACACCTTTGGATGCCAGTCCAGTGGTGTAGATTTTAAGCGTTCGCGCGCAAGACCGAAGGGTTCGATTACCGTGTGCAGGGCTCGTGAATGGGCACTGCTAGGAGGAAAAAGCCGTCTAGTACTTTCAGGTTTCTAATGGTGGTCTGATTATGACTGATTCACGGTTCTGATTTATTTTGTTGGTAAATAAGATGATTAAGTATTTACCAGGTAAAGAATTCAAAGTATCGAATTACTGAAAGATTTACACTGCTGAATAAAATTACTTAATTTCTGTTAACCCCAATGGAGCATTGGCCGCCCACCAGTTTTCTCCAACCAACTCTGTCCTGGGCTTCCTTTTCCAATTTTGTCCAATTTTTGTGCATTCTTCTCAAGTCTTTCTCTATTTCTCGGTGTAATGTGTTCTTTGGCCCTCCTCTTTTCCTTTTACCTTGAAGGTTCCATGCGAGGGCTTATCTTGTGACGCAGTTGGATACTTTTCGCAGTGTGTGTTCTATCCACTTCCACCACTTCTTCCTGATTTCTTCCTCCACTGTAATCTGGTTTGTTCTCTCTAACAGTAGGTTGTTGCTGAATAAACTTACAGTGACTTAAAAAATTTCAGCCAGACATTGTACAACCGTGTGATTTGATTTACTACTGACTATCAACTTAAAATAAATAATGTATCTATGAAAATCGATGGCAAGTGAAATAATCCAGATTCGGTTGTTGTCTTTTTGCCTAAATTCAATTTCTGACCAAGCTA